GTCTAGGCTGCATATTGGCGCTAGAGCGGAGGGGAAGACTGATGCTTAAAAGTGATGAGGAGAGTGAAATAAAAAAAAGGTGTCGAGAATATGATAAAGGAAGCCTCATAACTATGAAAAGGAATAGAGTGGCAAAAAAGGCGGAGTGTTCATGAAGTCGATATCAGATTTGTGCAAAACGGTCGAAATATTTGTGCCACTGGGAACGAAAGGTTAATGACATTTGCGAAAGTGCTGGAGAACGTTTGCAAAGGAGTGGTAATCCCCATTATTTATCAGCATCTTTCACCATCACTTTATTAGAAAAATGCCTGCTCGGGTAACATTTGCCGAGACTCATTCAAAAATTGCTGTATTTCTTTATTGTGTAGCACAAATTACCATTGCACGAAAGAAATGCAGATGCAGAATTGTCATTCTAGGAAGGCTGCTCGAACTGTGCGTTCTCTTTTTGCCGAAAATGTTTACCACATCGTGCTCTCATACCACAGTATGCTAACAAACCCGTCACCGTCTGTGCACGATGTTTCGAAAAACTCAACGCTCAGACGATGAAAAACCAGGAGAAGGATGGCACCAAGGTAACTAGTATTTTAGTTCTGTTATTTTCTTGGAAAATGAGTCTGCTTCGCATTTCTCAATCTTTATGTGAACTGTGGTGAATTGAATAAGCCAACCATTCGTGACGTAGCTCTCCTTGTGTGGCGACTGGTGGCACCGCAAGGCATGATCTCTTGCCCAGCGTACACAAAGGTAGACGCCGTGTTACCCAGCTGAATTTCTCACAATCGCACGGCCACGTTACATTGGGTCAATGCATGGGAGTATGCAAACGCAAGACTCACTTCAGAGGGCTGGATCGACCTGTCGAGTTTCCCTGGTAATTTCCGTGGCGACTGAGTAGCACGAACGACTTCTGCACCAAGCTAGAGCGAATATAAACTTGGTTTTTTCTCACATGATGCATGAAAAGAACGCCCGCGCAAGGAAGAAAGGATTGCTACCCAACCTTCGAAAAATGGAGGGAAAGTGGGTTATCTGAGTTGCGCGTTTTAACAGTACCCGAATAAATACGGTCACAAAAACATTGACGTAATCTGAGATAAATCAATTTTTTTAATGTTTTTCGTTGATGCAATTCCTTGGTGCTTTCGTTTGTGGGCAACTTTTTCCGAATCATATTCAGCAGAATCTTTTTATCAATTCGCCAAATGATGCATTTTTCAAACTTTAGATTACAAGAATAGCTATTGGTGATCCACCGCAAGCACAACATTCAGGAGTCGCCAGCACATCTTCAAAAAATTGGTGGGGTGACGGGTTGCCTCCGCCGTCATTGAGGACTACTGTAGGTATGTCATATGATGTTTAACGAGTGTTGTTATGTTATTGAGAGTGGAGATGGAGCACTACTCCTTAGTCGTCAAAACGGACTTCGAATGCTGCTCGGCATAGTTCTTTTTGAGCTACCCATTGATCTTTCCTTTCTTGCTTCCTTTTTCAAACTATGGTTTGTTGTAAGTGAATGTTCTGGCCTCCGAATATGGTGTTTTTTTGACACTGTCAGCTCGTGCCTGCTAGAAAGGAGAGTTTTTGGCAACTCGTCTCAATTCTTTAAGGTTCCTGTTCACATATTCACATCCGTTTTTATTTCCTTTTCCAGGTCGGCCACAACCTGCACCTCGTGTTTTTCATGCAAAGAACAAACAAGATGCCAATGAGATACCACGCGCTGAGGAAGACAATCACGATCTAGAGACAAGATGGAAGAAAGCCCGCGATGAAGGTGAGGCTCTGCTTTGGGTTTATAGGCGCAATTTAAATTCCACTGCTTTTTGCAAATAATTTAGAAGACTCCACTAAGGTCCTCACACTCTCCGAAATAGAGGAACGTTTGGCTGCCTTACGAGGCTGTGATGTAGAGGTTATTCGTCGGCCACGTTGTGTAAGTCGTGTTGTTTTTATCAATGCATAAATACATCGCTTGAAAACAGGTGCTACGACAAATCTATCGCTCGTTAGAAAGGCTGCTCTCCCTGCTCACTACCCCTCCTTGTCGAAATTGAACCTTTCCTCGAGAAGAATGTAATAATACTTGTGGAGAGCATGTACAGAATTGTTGGAATCATTTGACAAAATGGAAGCGCTGAGTCCCTACGATGCAGCATTGCTCCCCTTAACACACCCACCCACAAATCTAGGTACCTCCTCGCCCGCCCTCACTCGGACCGAAGGCTCACCCACCTACTTCAATCCGCGCCATACCCCACCGCTCATTCGATCTCCGCCCACTCCTTGCTCTCCTTGCCCGCCCCCCCCAGCCTCAGCGCCTCTCTCCAGGTAACCTCTCCCCCTCCTCCTCGCCACTTCCACACACATTCCCCCCCGGCCCCCCCACCCCCTCGCCTCGCCACCCACCGCCCGCGCCCACCCTCGCGGCGCCGCCCCCATAATGGGCCCTGCCCAACCCACACGCCGACACCACCTCGCGCACGCCCACTACCTCGCCTCGCCAACTGCACTTCACTCCCTGCCCCCGCTCCCTACGCCCCTCGCGCCACCCCCGATCACTCGTACGCTCGCCCCCCCCCACACATCACATCACACCGACACTCTCACACACTCTTATATAATCCCTCCCCCACCCGACACACTCGCACATACCAGCCTCGCCCTCTTCCTCCCCCGGAGCTCACCCCCACTCACATCTCCCCCTCTCGAGTCACCCACACTCTCACTCGTCTCCCATCGCTCCCCTTCCACCCTCTCAACCGCTATTCTTCACTTCTCTCATCCCCTCCGCAAACATCTATTCTAATCAGAACGCATTCATACACCTCTCTCTGACACTATCTAGAGCCAGCATATGTGATCGAGCCCGCCCGCGACACAGACACAACACCCGCGCCTACACCGACCACAACACACAACACCCACACACAGACAGAAGAACAGACTGGAAAAATCGTCGTGAATGTGTTTAAAAGCTCGATTACAATGTTGAGTGTCTAGTTGAACGGAAATTGGACAAATGAGCGATCACCCTCTCACATTCGTCACAATCTAATATAACACCGAACCACCTACGACCTGAAGATCCGGGACATACCCACGACCATCCCGGCTTACCTCATCGACCCTCACGCAATACTCGATTTTTCGGTTTTCGAAAACGGAGGGATTAAACTTAACATGTAGAATTTGATATACCATCTCTTCAGCCAGGTGGTGAGGGAGCATTATGTTGGAGCTACATTGTAGCCTCTATAGCTAATTTTCAGATGTTCGAGACAACAGAAAAGCCTCGCCCATCAGGGAAAACTGCAGAAGAACTTATGAAAGAGGCAAGAGATCTTGCCGAACTCGAAGAAAAGTATGATATGGACAAGGAAATGGAAAAGCGATTCAAACGTTTGAAATATGAAGATGAGTCACATCCCATGGAAACTGCAGACGGAGCTGAGGCGAACCAGCTCACTTCAGGTATGGCACCTTAATGTTCTATTCCGTTTGATTGGTTTTACGTGGTTTCTGAGCTTATTAAATTTTACTGTTGATTCGTGGGTATTTCCACGCAACTAATGTGCTTCGTCTTTCGATAATTTCTCTTTTATAGAAGCATCCAATGAGCCACGATTATCTACGGTGTCATCAGCGACTGCTTTTAGCGAAGCTACAGCGAATGAGTTAGAAGAAATCAAAAGGTGTGGTTTGGGAAGATTCTAATTGTCACGTTCTCTCAATTTAATGTCACACTAATATGTAGCAAGCGCTAGCTTATAAGCATGTTTAGCATTTGTCTAGTAGCCCGTGCAGCTGTATGAGGCCATTAGACATATTCAGTCGAATGTATTAGAATACTCATTAGGTTAATGGAAGACGCAGAAAAAAGGGTCAAAGCAAGTGAAGCGGATAACAAACACGTTCAGCAAGAGATGAAGACTGTATTGGCTGCCAGTGAGTGCCATTTATCCATATTGTCCTTCGTCGTTGCTTGTGCCTTTTCCAGCCTTCACAGTCTTAAGTTTTTCAGCTCGACAGAAATCGCTTGAATTGGAAAAAGTGAATAGAGAAATCGGGCAGTTTTGGAATAAACAACTGGACAAGGTGCCTATCAATACATAGTCCTCAGTGGCCATTGTTATGTCACTGTTTTTAGGTTGAGTTATCTGAGTCGGACGAGGACGACGTTGACGACGAAGTCGTGAAAAAGATTATATTGGAAGCGGAAAACGCGACTCCGGATATTCCTGAAGATCCAGCTGAAAGAGCCGCTGCTACGACGCCGACGGTGCAGTCACCGTCACCCAAGAAAGCTGGTATATTCAGTAAGATATTTCGTCGGTGACCAAATAAAAGCAGGTGAATGAAAGTTGGAGCTGCGCCTCCAACGGAGTACGACCGACAGCTTTTATGAGGCTCATGCGATGGTCTGCCATACTGCTCTGTGATACGATTTTTTTCTACTTCTTCAATCAAGGGGCCTCTTTTGTAATTCTGAAATATTCTATAATATTAATAGAAGACTATATTATGTAGGCAGAATGAAGAAGGGCGAATTATACGTTTCCTTCATTCGCGTATCATTTGCATGGTTAGAGAAATGTAGGATTTTTTTAACAGTCCATTCATGCCAATTTTCTTATTTTTTTAATGAAAAATTTCGAGTAGGGTTTGGTTCGTCGTTGTTTTTCGCATTTCTTGTGATCCCGTGTGAATTTTCGATTGTCCATTTGAGATCACTCCTGTTGCCAAATCCTCGCATTTTCTTTTCTTGTTGTGTCTCGTTATTCTATCACATTTTTATTCTGCTTCCCTTGGTGGGGATATCTGCAGAAGCTTCTGGTCGACGTAGACCAAACATTACATGTAAATATTGACGAGATTTCAAAGGTTTGCTAATAATTGTAATAAATGCCGAGTATTTAATATTGGTAAAATGAAGAATAAGGACGAATTTTTGGAGATAGTACCTAATAATTGCAATAAAGGTCGAGAGTAAGGGATGAAGCATTTACCGTTGATGAATCTTTTTTGGGATGCGGTACGCGTTCTACTCCATTTGTACATACGTAGCGGCGCTTGAAAGCGATTT